GACAACCAAACCAGTATGGCGTCAATTCTGGGCTCCCTGAAAAACAACATCTCTGTACGTATATTTGTTATTAGACGCCAGAAATATCAAATGGACATCATAAATGACATGTTGAAGCACAACAGTCATATTGAAATGCTCGCTATTATCAGCGATAATGAGAACGCTGACATGTTGAACATGAATCCAGAATTTGATGAATCCATGTTTAAATGCTTTGACTCTGATGAGTCATACACGCGTGGACGCGGGGATTACCCATTAACCCACATCTTTGACAAGTGGTTCAGAGACATAATTAACTTCGAGAACAATACTTCTACAAAGAGTACCATAGACTGTGTTGAGCTTGCCCACAAAATGTTCCGAAAAGTCGTATTGCCTGAAATATGCGCATTGGGTTTGCATGTGCGAATCCTTGCACGTAAACTTCGTAAGTAGTACCACCACCTAGCTTGGAAAATCCAAAATACTACTCCTGGAGAAAAATAAATAAACGTGTATATTGTCGTAACATAAGTAACATTACAGTAACAACAAGTGGTAAAATGCATTGACTCACAATCATACACCTATTGCACGATCCACTTTTCACTTCATACCAAGTCGCTAATAAAGCTATGACGTGACAAGAATGGAGAAAATACTTGGAAACGTTATGTGTTGCGTTCCGCGGTTTTGTGTTTCACATGCTTTCAGTTTTAGAAAAGGCGCTTTTTAAAACGTACTAATATATGAAACCACAAAAGGAAGATTTTACTTACACTATGTTTCAACATAGTCCCCTCTAAGTTCAATGCACTGTGTCCATCGGTGTTCCAGTGTTCCTATTCCCTGGTGAAAGAAGGTTTCATCTTCACCTCAACAGCTTGGATGACGTCATCATCAGTCTCAAAAGGGTGACCACGCAAGTGGGAATTCCGTTTAGGAAACAGGTAGAAGTCAGGCGGTGCCAGGTCATCTACCTTTTGTATTGTATTGTTATAATAATCATCATTTACCATTTAATGACCTGATACATTAATTATTAGTTTTTACAATATAAATAAACCTGAGTGTAATTCTGTATTATTCAAAACTTTGTAAATTATCCGTACTCAAATCAGTAAAATCTGTACTTTCCGAAAATATATGTTGCATTTTAGAAATTGGTAGATGTCCCATTTAATGACCTGATACATTAATTATTAGTTTTTACAATATAAATAAACCTGAGTGTAATTCTGTATTATTCAAAACTTTGTAAATTATCCGTACTCAAATCAGTAAAATCTGTACTTTCCGAAAATATATGTTGCATTTTAGAAATTGGTAGATGTCCCAGCGTCATCGTAAAACCTGAAATACATTTTTTTGTACATAGTGTTAAGGTAGCGAGATCTATTATTTGTGTTGAATATTACGATTTTCACATTTATTTATTAATTGATGAAATAAATAAACTTTCATATGATAAAGTCAACATAACGTAGAATGTCATGTAAGTTGGTTAAAATGTTGATTTTCTGAAGGGAAGCAAGGCAGCCACAGTAGTGTTTTCCAAAATCAACAACACATGTTTAATCTGTGTGCCTATGAGTTCCAAAGATAAACTAAAAAAAAAGCAATCTTAAGATGTGCTATCAGTAGCTTTCTGACACACAATCAGTGTTTCCAAACACTTGAGTGGTTTGTCTCCGCCCCTGTTTGTTTCACAGATTAGTCATTTGCATATGAATGTGTCTGACACAAGGTCACACAGGCACTGAAAAAAATCATTGATTTTGGTGTTCTCATCTGCAGATTTTATCGAATTATAGCTATCCCATTCCTGTATTTTATGGTTTTCAATAGCCTTACACATGTGGATGCCCCTATATATGTTGAAACAGACCTTGAATAGAAAACAAATCGATTGTGCCGAAAAACAAGCTTGAAAATCTTTGCTGTGACTTCATGGACGTTTTCTAGGAGTGTATTTTTTTCAAAATACAAGGTCTTTAACAAAAAATAACGTATACTTATTGTCGTCGGATTAACACCAAATTCTCACAGCTTTAAGGTGACAATGACAGAAACTTGAATTTGTCCAGACAAACTATTTCGTGGATTATTTATCAACGTGTTGTGGTTTGAGTTGGGGGCAATGCGACTAAAACGGAAATTAAAATATAGCACACTACTTTTTAAAACTCATTCAAAACACATTCAATTTACGAGACTATTGAACAACTAGGAAAAGTGAAAAAAACTTCTTATCACCAGCATAAATGCGTAATTATTATTTTTTACAGAAACAATAATGTTTTACCTTTCATTGATTAACGCGTCGTACAATGCAGATATGGGCATGAAAAACACACTTTTGAAAAGTTTAAAGTCTGGCGATTCCAAAAAATACATATTTTCCTGGATCTTTTTGTAGTCATTTAGTCACAATTAGAAGATGAAAACTAGTATGCAAATAATAGTCCCGCTACCTTAAATTTATGTTAACATCTATTCAATAATGTATTTTGTTGACAAGCTTTATTATTTAAAATCGTGTTAGTTTTTGTATTTTAGTTATTACTGTGTGTCTTTCAATTTATGTAATTGATTTAGAAGTTGGTATATAGTTGTAAATTAATATTTATGTATATAAATTTGCATTTATATTTCCGAATATATGTGTTGTTGTATTCAATATATTGCAGAGAAATCTACATATCTGTATATTATATTTTATTTTTTCCTGCTTGTTTTTGATAACAATTAAATCTAGTCTTTAAATTTTGACACATGTCATCTTAAATCATTGTATGTTTTATAATAGGGTAATTCACATATATGATATATGGCTGATGTGTAAATTATTTTCCTACTGCAATTTAACCAATATATAATATAGGTAAACCAAAATGGTTCCTAAGTAAAACACAGATTGTAGATGTTGTCTAATATTGAATTATTGTAAATTTCATACAGTAGCAACTATCGTGATATTTTGATTATTCGTGAACTTATCATGTCGAATGTAAGTAAATTATCTATGTAATGTATACTTCAATTCAAGCTTCCAAAACAGTTGCTTTCCTGATACATATAATAAAAATGGGTATAATGAATTAAAACGATTGGTCTGATGTGTTGATAATGTTATTACGTGCACGTGACAGAAGCAGTTTTGGAATTATTTTGACGATTCTGATGTTTGATCAAGACAGATGACTGTATATTTTGTATAAGGCTTCTGTTTGTCAGTAAACAAATTACAAACAATTATTTCAAATTCATCATAACCAGCATTAGTTTCCTATATCCCACAAAATAAATTTTGAACTGCTACTTGTCACTTTAAAGCATTATTACTAACTCCTATCACCACTTCTCAATTTATATAATGCCACTCAAAACCTTCGACCCAATTCATAGATACGCGATTAACATATCGCCTTTGCAAGAGCTGTGATCAAATTATAGAATAAACTCGAACTTAGTACATGTATCTCTATAACATCAGTACATTTCTTCAGTCGTTTTTATTTTTCCTGACAAGCTATTTCGTGGTCAGAGAAAGTTATGTGACCTATAACATTTTAATTTGCATATTGTTGCAGTAACCTAGGTATAAACATTTTTTTTATAAAACAATACATCTGATCAACTTTTGTTTTGCGGTATTGAATATAGTTTGATTTGCTATGTTTTAAAATAAAATGCAAAAGAATTTGATGTGATCTTTGATGTTTTTATATAAAACATTTATGTCATACGACTTTCGGCGGAGGTGGCCATCTTTGATCACAGTACCTTAATGAGGTGTGAGAAAGTTCATTGGCGAGTAATTGGGGTAAAGGTAAGTGATTGACGTATGGCTCATGAATTATTTTGATAGAATATTCTACCAAATGTCCCCATTGGAAAAACATTTGCGGATTGGTGATATCATTCTAACTGTATCATCTCAAAACTATAACAGTGAGACAAAGTCAACTTTGGAGGGTGAATAAAGTGAATGATTTGCATTAGACGTTGCTTGAGGGCGCACAACACCGCGAATCAGGGGTGACACTAAATCGAGACTGGTTTGTGTTGGATGAGCGCCCTCTGTGCCTGGATATAAAACATAATTCCGAGGGCGTCAGTATTAAATCACTGTTGGTCATGTAACACTTTGTAGTGGCAATGTGTTTATTTCTGTAACTCAACACATCGAGGTCACGACTCGATTAGCCTTGCTCAACTGGTTCGTAACCAGTCTTGTGATTGGTTGTTGACAAATGCTGAACAGGCCATGCCTCCAACGGTGTCGTGCGTTCGGATTAACCGTTAGGAATTCCTAAATGGAGTCAATTTGTGTAGTTTTCTTAATTTATTCTGCAGATATCGGTAAGGCTTTGGCGAAATTCGAAGGAGCAACTAATATTCTTCAACCTGGTATTTTTTTTATATTTTATTTTTCATTCTTTTCGTCTGTTTTTTCGAGTTTACAAAATGTGAGCTGGCTGGAGCCTTCATCCCTTGTCTATTTCTTACACTAGATACCAGCCGATACCCCCCCCCCCCGCTCATAGAGACTGCGTACTACCGTTGATTATAGTTCCTGGGCCCCCTGTGGTATTATCAAGTCGATGGGAATAGAATAGTGTTGTCTTATCGCATCGATGTGAAAAGAATTGTGTGGTCTGACCACGGCGATGTGAATATTATAGTGTGGACTTACCACGTCGATGTGAATAGTATATTGTGGTGTTACAACATGCACATCTATATGAAAAGTATGGAGTGGTTTTAGAGCATCGCTATGAATAACATAATGTAGTCCTACCACATCAATGTGAGTTGTATAGTGTAGTTTTATCACATCGAATTGAATAGGATGGTGCTGTCTTACCAGATCGAGAATTGTACAGTCTGGTCTCACCGCATCCACGTGAATAGTATAGTGTCGTTTTACCACATCGATGTGATTAGTATACTGTGATATTTCCGCATGGATATGAATGAAATAGTGTGGTCTTGCCGCATCGACCCGAAGAGTACAGCAAGGTCTTACCACATCAATATAAGTAGTAGCATGTTCTTACCGCATCAATGTAAGTAAAATTGTGTGGTTTTACCACATATATGTGAATAGTTTAGTGTGGTCTTACCGCACCGATGTGAATAGTATAGTGTGGTACTACCACGTCGATGTGAATAGTATAGTGTGGACTTACTGCATCGATGTGAATTGTATAGTGTGGTCTTACCGCATCGATATGAATAGTATAGTGTGGTAATACCACATCGATGTGAATAGTATAGTGTGGACTACCACATCGATGTGAATAGTATAGTGTGGTCTTGCCGCATCGACCTGAGGTGCAAAGCAAGGACTTACCACATCAATGTAAGTAGTAGCATGTTCTTACCGCATCGATGTGAATAATAGTGTGGTCTTACCAAATCGACTCTAAAAGTAAAGCAAGGTCTTACAACATCACTGTGAGTAGTAGCATGTTCTTACAGCATCGAGGTGAATAAACTAGTGTGGTCTTAGTACATCGATGTGAATAGTATAGTGTCGTGTAATCACTTCGATATTAATAGTATAGTGTGGTCTTAGTACATCGATGTGAATAATATAGTCTCTTCTTACCAAATTGATAAGATTAAAACGGTGTAGTCCTACCATATCAATGTGAGTTGTATAATGTGCTCTTATCAATTCGGATTGAAAAGAATAGTGCTGTGTTACCATATCGAGAATGGTATAGTGTGGTCTTACCGCATCGACGTGAATAGTAGTGATTTCTTACCACATCGATGTAAATAGTTTAGTGTAGTCTCGCCTCATCGAATATACAATTAATCAAATTAGCCAAATGACGCCATGCACGTCGCATTGGCACAGGTAAGATTGATACAGAGAATCTATTTGTGGCACATTGGCGTTTTAAAAAAACACAAGTATTCAGTCAACCACTGTAATTGTTAAGTCTATTTGTGACAATTGAGGCAAATCTCAGCATGTGTTGCCTCGGTTCTGAAATGTACTGAAAATTTAGAATCTGTGATAAAACAATAATCGTTAATTCGTACTTTCTACAATGTTAATAATATCCACTCAGCATGTTTAAAGAATACACGGAGTAAAGTGTATTGAATTCTCTAGTTTTATATATTTCAATGCTGTCAAAAAAGGAGATATGCCGGGCTTAGTATATTGCAGTGGGTTTTTCGCATACAGAATACAAAATAATTAAAGCATATTCAGGTCAATTCAGGTGGGTTATTTGTCAAAAAATCATTGTAAAATAAATGAATTAAAAAACAGTTAGTTTTCTTCGTATTCTGGGAAGTCTAGATTCCGTATGTATAGCGACAACATGAACCCAAGCAGCAGTCCAATAAGTATTGTTAAATATAGCAACAAGTAGACGCGGTCGATAATACGAGATATTGCCCGCCATTTGTTCAATCGCCTTCTCTCTACCTCTTCGCTGACATAGTTGTCGTCATCTTTTCCGTCTTCTTCGCTCTCTGTAAATATTCCCATTTCAAGACTGTCTCGGTGCGTCCTTTGACCGTTTTGGTGAACGGACCCGTCCACAATGAACACACCATTAGGGATTTTATTAAACCTGGTTACCGACGATTGTCCGTTTTCGTGCACAAAACCTTGATTATAAGATGTACAGTTCATTTCTACTTCCTCTCGTATTTTTGTTGTTGATGATTTCGTTTTTAGATTTTTTCTACTCTTTCTTTGCAAGAACGGTTTGGCTCGTTTCGTCTGACAAACCACGGGAGCCAGGCATTCAAAGACTAGTGTACTCAGCCATGTGGGCACTTCTTCACAATGTGGACCTCTGAAGTGCATACTGAGCGACCATGCTATTACAAAAGAAGATGCCGCCACGAGGCCAATCGACGCAAAGAAATATCGTTCTGTAATATACAATAATATACACGTGAGCTTCAAAATAACGGCCAAGTTTACGATTATTTTACCTGTTCGAAAAAATAAAATTGAGGCAACAGTCCATATATCTGCTTTAAACAGGGTTTACTATATTCAAATTGGGATTAGATATGCTTCATTATTCAAACACAAACACCGTCACGCCAGAGTGTCGAGCAATGAAGTGGAGTCTAGAAGAACTCAGTGTATGTTTCCTAATCTCCTAATTCCTACAAATACAGGTTACTCTATATACTTATACTCCGCCAAGTGCAATTGACTCACGTAGTCATATGTGAATACAGTATTTTAAGTGTGATCTCTCCTATACCGAGCCGAATCTTAAATGTGCATTACATATACATACATTGAACAATATTTAAAAATAATACTACCAGTACTTACGTAAAAATGGTAGGTGTTCTGAATTAGGAGGCATGAACTCCGACACCACGTTGAGAAAAACAAATTGAGACAATATACTGGTCACCCATAAAGTCACACGTTCTCCCGAATCCGATGGGAGGTAGAAAGCAACAGCGACCAAGGTACTTGCAAGAAATGACGGGAGAATTATATTGAAGACGTAAAAAGTAGAGCGCCGCCTCAGGTGCATTGTGTATATCAACTTGGGGAATGGTACTGTGCAGCAAGGATCCTGCTCCTCTTCGCGTGTTTTGGGCATTCCTAGAAGTTCCCATTCGCCGTTCACCACGAATAACTTGATGTTGGTGTTTGGATCCATAACAAGATTGATTTTATCTCCGGGGTAGGACCATGACGCGAATTTGAATGCGCAGTACTGCTGGTCAAACGGGAAATATCGCGGATCAATTTTGCAAGTGGCTTCCAATACATCTGGTTGTAAAGCTGTTATTGTTCCATCAAACGAAATGATAGCATCCGTGTCATAATGTCTTTGGAATCCCGGTCGAACACTAAAAAAACACATGGATGATACAGTGAGTAAATTGTATTCTTAATCACCAACGTTAGTTTGGTTAGGTCGTAAGATGGGTAAAGATGATAACAAATCATAAAATTATATATATATAATCGTATTGAATGGTGTTTGTATTGGAACTATATAAAGAAAACAAACGGTTCTCGTAATTATTATGATTACTAACAACAACTAACAACTATTACACCTCAAATTACAGATCATTATGCCAGGTTTAGTTTCATCATTAACGCTATAATATACTTGCTAACAAAACTCTTGCACTTGCGATTTTATCTAGAAAATTGCAATCAGAAATACGTGTGGTGTATTGCTTTATGTTAGCCATCTCAAATAATGTATTTCTTAACAATAGTTGGGCGTGTGTTGACAAAATTAAAAAGTACAATTTGATTGCTAATTTCTCGTATTTGTTGTTTTGAAATATAAAAAAAATCATCGCTAAGAAAATCTATTTTATGTAGGGTTAAAGAACGAATTTTGTCACCAAACTTCTTACTTCTCATAATTTTTCTTTTTATATTGACCAAAACTGACTCAGAAATTCGTCGTTGTATGGTAAATTTCGTACAAGAATCGAGTGTTTTTTATTGGCTAAATATATGTATATTTTCTAATAGTGTTAGTTAGTATGAATACAAATATTTGCGTCCTGGAAATTTAGTCTATATATGGATCAAAAATGATATATCGTCGCTTTAACGACGTAAGTCTCGGGAAACGTGAGAACACTAACTGTCACGTTATTTATACTTTGTAAGTACATTCGAAAATGAACAAATTAAGAACAGGTACATCAAACTCGTCGCTACGGAAATTGTTTCGCATGAAATATAACGTATCGTTAAAATGACATGCGCTATGATTGTTGCGTTAGGGTTTTCCTAGAATGTTCTAGCTAATCGAGAGCATCACGCTGTAGAATAAAACTTATACATTATTTATTTCCAATTACCTGTTGACGAGTGTGATATCTGGCTGCCAAACTTCGGTGATAGGAACCTGCAACTCGTCCACACCGCCATAGTCATCAGGATCCCAGCTCAGAAAGGCGTCGTTCCAGATCTAGAAATAGAAACATACAATAAGTATGAGACACTTCTCACCACAATATATAAATGCAACGCAATCGTCTCGCTGCGCACCGCGGTCGTGGCGTAACCCGTCGCAGTCGCCACACAGCGCGCTGTTTGTTTAACAAACAAAACGTCACATAGGACCCACATTGTGCAGGACGCATCGTGACCGCTGTGAATAATTAAAACGTCATTACTGTGTTGAAGTAATTATTACCTGACTCATCCATGTTTTCATGCTGATAACTTGATTTTGTTCATCCTTCAAACAAAAAATAAACAAGACATAGTAGATGAGCTAATCTCGTTAATAAATTAAATAGAAATATTGTGTTATCAGTAAACTGTGTTATCGGCGGTTGGTGGCGCTGTTATACTCACCACATTGAGTATCTGTATTGGTGTCATCCTGTGTACGACGGTGACGACTGACGATCTATTGTAGACAGGGCGTATATACTTCTGATGGTCGCTGAACAAATCTTTGACAAGTTTCGACGCAAATGCTGTTTTTATGCCATTTTCGTAATATACTGTTAAGTAATCAGATAAAATACGATATCCAGTGTTAACAAACATATGTTGAATAAAAACTCGACAAATAGCGCCACCATGTTCATGAGGGGACGGCGCAGTACTGTTTCAGTCATTTAACATGGAAATGAATTGTATACAATGAGTACGAATATATATATATATATGCGATTACCAGGAATAAAAAGCCAAAATTCTTTAGCTCCGCTGTAATAATGATTGATATATGTTCATATATCCTTCGTCCATACGTCCATGGCCCGTCAACAATTCCTTTTATGACTTCTTAAAAATTACCAATCCGATTTATTTGATATATTATGTGTAGGTACCTTGGACCCACCTCTATCGGATTTGTACATTTTCTTCAATTCTCTATTTTATATAAAATATTTATTTTTGACAAAATATTTTATTTTCGACTTCTTCTACTATTACAACTAGCCCGATGGTTTTGATAATTATATATAGCTTGACATTAATTCTACATTTTTAGCGAACAGTTCTTGAAGATTACCATCGTAATTGCTTTTATAGGTTATATAACCTTGGATTGACCTCTATCAGATATATTAATAGGTGTACATTGTTTTTGTGAATAATTTGTTTGATGAAGGTTGGCATGTTCACAGACAGCCAGAAACAAATTACTTAGTGTGGGTTAACTGCGTTTTGTTTTCTGGGTGTGCATTACTTGCCTTGTTTATCACAATAATCTTGTATGAACAGAGTAGATCTCGTAACATGTATATGCTATCCCAGTGGACACACGGACACTTCATAACCATTATATTCACGCACACAACAATGCATATAGTACGTCGGATGAACTCTAACAAAATATTTTTTTGGTATTGAAGTTGTGCCAATCTCGAAAAATTTTCCCCGCACAGAACCAGCCGGTAAAGGTGTAATTTACCTTAATTAGTAGTAAACACGTGTCTTGCATTTATAATCTAACTGTGTTGTTTGAGGCGACGTTCCAAGATAATGTATCCGAGGGTACATGTGTATTTTGTATGGTTTGTGAGAAGATAACTCGAGATTTCAATGCAGAAATCCATATCCGGAAAGATTTGATGATCGAAATTGCATTTTGTAAGCCGAAATGTTCAATTTTAGTATGCGCTTAGTTAAAATGTTTACTAATAACTGTGTGCTCTTTCGTGGCTCTTTCATGCGACCCTACACTTTACTCAAAGAGCCCTCCTACTACGAATTAACTTTATTTCAGTGCATGAAATAGTTGTTTATATTCTGAATGTACTATCCTACCACGTCATAGGATAAGTTTTATACGTGATTTACTATTCAAGTCCACTGCCCAATACTTGCACATTGGCTGAGGGAGATATTACACAAAACAACAACTAATCTGATATTTCTATGACGGAATTGTGACGAATTATCTTGATGGTGGAGGCAGCATTATTTGATATATTAGCATATGCTGACTGCTGATTTTATCTAAACGGAAGTTGAAAGCGAGTGAATGACATCTGTGTGAACCTAACCAAGTGTAACTATCCGCCATTGTTAACTGTAATTTTGACAGGCTCAATTTGGGAAATGACGCCCGCAGTCGCCGTTCATATATACAAAGCAACGCTCTGCCACGACAATTTGACAATTATTAATAATTTTTACGGAAGTATGGGTGATTGGTTCATTGTCCAAATAGATGATTTTTTATACTATGTTATTGACTGTGTGTAATCGTAGAGGGCGGTAGTTCCAATTTCAATATGTTAATAATTCTAGAGTCTCTGATGTTGTACGTTATACTGTAGAAGTCAAACGAATGTCACCCTAAGCGAAGTATATTGTAAGAGTTCCTAATATGCGTATTGCATAGCGTGCAAGTCTGAAATGAGAATTCCGATCCCGTGTGACCTATCTGACCACTGCGACAGAGCCCAATTTGACTGTTACTGACTGTTACAATTTGAACCAAGGACTTTAAAATAATCTGAAACATTTATACCTGGTGAAGTCAAATTCAAATATGATAATACCAACGTATAGTGAAGAAAACTTATATATTGTATAACGAGTGATGCTGCTATAATGTGTTTGTTGTCTGATCACGATAGAATTCAGCAGTCAATCTTCACTGGCAGTTTTACTGTCCTGTCGGCACCATTGCCATGCGATTAATCATTGGAACGACTTTGTAGTAAAAAAGGATTCTATTTTAGCGTGGTTCATATTTATGTGCCCGTAGAGGGAGAAAGAAAAGGACAGATCACGCTACAGGGAGTATGTAATTATGATATGCATAAAA